AGAGGCGCTGCGGGACGGCGCCAGCGCGTTCCCTCAGCAGAGCAGGGCAGCTGAGGCTGCGCCCCTCCCCTGCCGGCTTCCTGGTCCTCGGGGTGTGAGGGCCGCGGCCTGGGACTCCAGACCCAGGGCCTGCGGGTGTCCTCGGCGGCCCCCGCAGCGTCCGCGGCGACGTCGTCACGCTCCTCGCGGCCTCGCAGCCAGCGCTCGGGCCGGCCGCCGAATGCCCGAGGAGAGGACGCGCATCTCCTCCCCGAGTTCCTGCTTCCTGGGCCAGCCAAAGCCGCAGGTGAGAACGTCCGCGGTAGAGGTGGCACCCAGGGCCTGCGGGTCTCAGAGGCCCCCTGGCCTCCTTCTTCTCTCCTCCTTGCCCAGGAAAGCCCGCGGGGGCGCCTGCAGCGGGGATGCTAAATGCTCCCCAGAGCCCCGAGAGCACTTCTTCTGAGGCACGTAGCCCCCGCCCAGGTGCTTCTGCGAGCTCATTGTGGACCCCTCAAGCCCCTAGGGGATCCCCCGCCAAGCACCCCGCGGGCCCCCCACCCCTGGCGCGCATGCCCAGAGGCCCTGGGAGCTAGAAAGTAGCTGAGCTGCTGGCGCAGTACCTGCTGGCTAAGAACGCGAAGACTCAGTGGATCAAAAGGGCAGACATGCTGAAGTGTGTCATCCTAAAGGTGCAGGAGCTTCTTCCCCGAGATTTTCAAGAGAGCCACTGACCTCCCCGAGTTAGTCTTTGGGTCTAGGTGAAGGAACTTGGCCCTGCAGAGCACTCCTATGTCCCGAACAGGAAAAAAAAATCCATCCTGCCCTGCCTTTGGGGCCTGACAGGCGACCAGGGCAAGCACTCCAAAGACTGGGCTTTCTGCTGAGTACCCCGGACTTGATCTTCGTGCGGGCCGGCTGTGTCCCAGAGGAGGTGTTCGGGGAGGTGTGGAGGGTATTGGAGGTATGTTCGCCCAAAAGCATCCCGTCCTTGGGGAGCCGTCACCAAAGTGCATCACCAGAGCTTGCGAGCAGCACAGGTTTCTGGTGCAGGAGTAGGTGTCCTCCAGCAGTCCCGTGCTCTCGGTATTCTTGTGGGGTCCTCAAAGGAAACAAGACAGATGGAAGTCCTGGAGTTGGTGACCCAAGTGAATGACACCTGGCCCAGAGCCTTGGCTGTGGCAGTAAATGAGGCCTTGAAAGAAGAGGAGGAAATACCCGGTGCTGTGCGGTGGCCGAGAAGCAGCTGCTGGTGATGATGTGACAAGTGCGAGTGTTAGTGCGAGTTCCAGTTCCAGGGCCCGTGCCATGGCTGAAGCAAGCATCAGCGCCAGTGCCAATGCAAGGGCCAGGGCCAGGGCTAGAGCCATGCCGTGCCGGAGTGATGGTCAGGACCGGGGACAGTGCCGGTGCCGCTCAGGATCTCAGGCCCTAGTCAGGGCTTCTGTTGCCACTGGGGGTGGCTGAGGCCCAGGTTTCCTTTCTTTTGTTGTGGGTAGTCAAAGGGGCACTGGAGCACTGGGCCCTGGTGCTCTGATGTATGAAGAACGCAGGGCTAGAGCAGGGGCAGGAAGGAGACATAGCATTGTTCTCCAGTTCTCTGTGCTTCGTGGTGACTTAGCGCCTAGGCCGCACATTGCAAAGTCGTGCGTGCTTTGTAGCTGCCCTCTTTCCCGTCGAAAACCAGTTGCGAGGCATCGAGTGATGCGAACTAAGTGATGAAGGCTGAGGATGTGGCTGAGTGGTAGAAGACGTTCTTCACACGGGTAAGGCTGTGGCTTCCATCCCTGGAACCAAAAAGTAAATCAAAAGCGACTCGATAAGAACAGTGTCAAATCAGAGTGGAAGGAAAGGCGTACTAAACTACTTCCCAAATCCTTGCTTTTTTAGACAGATGAGTAGTATGAGCATCTGCGTTTATGCTTGGCATACATCCAGTGTTTCATTGCTCCTTTTGTAGGAGAGACATGTTCGTTTACACAAAACAATTGTGACACTGTCATTTCATGTCTGAAACATTCTAGAGTCAGTAGTTCTTTGAGATGGTGCAGGAATTCATGGTACGGAGATTCCCCCTCCAGATATTAAGAAATAAAACACAAATATGGCTGAAATCTGACACACAGCCAAGACAGCGGATGTTTCTTGTATTCACCTAGAGCTCTGGAATGTAGGGAAAAATAAAATTGAATTAGACACCTTGCTCATGGACTCATTCATTTAACCTGTGTCTAGTGACCATGTACCTTATGTGTGTGAGGCCCTATGCCCGGCACTGGTGGTCCAAGGATACACCAGACTCGGGCTCTGCCCCACATCTGAGAGTCTAGGTGGGGCGTAAATAGCTGAGGTAGATGTGGCAGTCGGGTTTTTCTGGGCTGGTCATATAAACCAGGCGGTCAGGGAGCGCAGAGGAGAGGCATGGATTCGTGGGAGGGGAGTCTCCAGGAGGCAGCAGGCTTCATCGCCTCCAAGTAGCAGCACCCGAGAGATGCAGCACGAGAGATGTGAAAACTGCAGAAGACCCCATGTTGGCATGGTGTGGATTCCTGGAGGACTCCATGCTTCCTTGGAACTGCAAGGCAAGAACTAGAGGATACTGGAGGGATGCTGAGAGGGCAAGACCACATGTGCAGGAGACGCAACCTCCAGTTGTACCTGACAGAGGAGAGGGATTAGAAAAGACTGCACTGCACACTCTTGGATCCGAGGTTTGCCAGAGGAAAGGCCAACAGCAGCAGCTGTGGTCAGTGCTCTACTCTGACACCCATGCACACTGTGGGTCCCTAATCCATCATTTCTAAGGAGTGGCAGGAGAGGAGCAAGTGTCCATTAGCAGAACGGAGATTGTCCCCTGAGGCAAGGGCACAAACAGAGGTCGTGTGCTGCAGCCTGGGAGAGCCAGAGCTCAGTGTGCTGAGAGGGTTACAGTGAGCTTCCGTAATTTGAAAAGGAGAGCAAAGGCCTGTGTGTGAGCAGCTGTGAGGGACTCTAGGTGTTGTGGAGCACTGTTGACAGAAGTGAGAGGGAAGTGTGTCTGAGCAGAGAAGCCTTGTGGCCAGACCCGGGCCCCAATCCTATTTAGTCAGGCTACACAGGTTTCCATGACTCGAGAGGATCTGATGAAAGGGTGACTCTAGCCAGTGTTGGTGGCCTCTATATGCAGCGTGGCATTGAAAAGCGCACATTCCCTCTGCTGACGTAGGATAGCTTCCAGTGGATATCAGGAGCATAGTGGCTGGCTGTTGCGCCTCAGAAACCTCTTACCCTCTAGACACAAATCTCATGGGATCTGGAAACAGCACTCTTGGGGACTCCCCTCGGATATGAGGGGTCCAGTGAGCACTGCACCTAAACCCTTCATTCTTTTACTTGTGTGAAGGAAACAAAGGGGGGTATCTGCTGGTCTCGTGAGGGTGACGATGAAGTGGGAATCTGAGGTGACCTGGAGGAGTAGGTGTGTCAGAATGATCTGTTTTTCTCTGGAATGGGGCTCTTGGGGCCGAATATGTGGCTGTCAGTCCAAACCCTTTCCTTGAGATGCCAAAATATTTTTTTCCATTTGCAGCCCATAGCCATGGTCAGTGATAAAGGCTGCATATTATATGGTGTATATTTTTGTAGTTCTTACATTCCATTTTTCTCAAAAATGAGCATGGAGGATTTGTTGTCTATGGTCCACAGTCCTAATAGGTACCTCAGCAAGCTCTGCTGTCCCGTTAAAAGTACTAAGCATGTGGTCCATTCTCTTGCCTACGTCGTCAAATGTTCCCTGACTCCAAATGCCAAGATTATCAAACCTAAATTACTTTTTCTTTTCCTGAAAGAGGTGCAGGAACAATATTGGTGTAGAGCTCAACAGATATATCCAGATGTATTCCTACCTAGATGGAAGGAAGCGGGTGAAAGCCAGATGAGGCAGATGCAAACCGGTGAGCCTACAGAGTGATGCTTCCCCCAAACAAGTGGAGACAACAGTGTCCCCCCATTTCTGACATAGCTGGGTTCAACATAGACAGAAGGAAAGACGTTTAGGGTCTCCCATGATGTCAACTTCCCTTTGGTTTCTGATGTTCAGTATGTTGTTTCCCCGGTCTCTGATATCTGGTGTTGCAATTTCTTTGTTTTTAATTATTTTATTTCAATTGCACGGTTGTTTGACACACATCTGTGCACTATGTGGATGCCTGGTGCCCACAGATGCCACAAGAGTGTATCAGTTAGATTTCTTGGGACTGGAGTTATACTCAGTTGTCAGCCATGATGTGGGTGGTTAGAATCGAACCCAGTCCTCTACAACAGCAACAGGACTTCAACCACTGAGCCGTATCTCCAGCTCAACCATTGCCATTTCTAACGTGGTCTCCTCCATGTTAGGTTAATGGTTTAGCTGTGCTACATCTTCCATTGGGGCCTTATCTCGAGGAAACTCTGTTTCAATAGTTTTCAAGGTCTCCAAGGAAAGGCAAGAAAGGCCCACACAGGAAAAAGAACCATAGTAGTGAGAGATAAAGCTGTCCCTTTGAGGATGTCTGTTGTGATGAGCAGTGGCATGTCTGGGAACTGTTCGTGAGCCCGGAAGTCGAAAGCCTTATTGTAGGATCCAGAGAGTCTTCCTCCCAGTGGCTTGTCCCCCACTGTGCACCCTCCCCCACCTACTCCTCCACTACCCATTGATAAATGAGTCCAAGGATTTCTCCACATGAGGATCATTTACAATGAAAGGGGGCAGAGGCATGCTACTCCCTCCTCAGGAAATTTTGGTGCATGCAAGTGCCCCTTGGGGTGAGAGCTGAGAGCTGTGGGAAATCAATGCACATTGAACTAGGACTCCAATGCCACCACCAAACGGCAAGCACCATTGCCTCAAGAAGGTGATTGTATGACCCAGCAGGACTAACAAAGACACTAGTTCTCGCTTTTCACACCAGCATCTCCTGGACCACCAAGACTGACACCCAGATGGTCTCTCATATGAGTGATTGTCAGTATGAAAGTGAAGGAAAACCATGAAGACAAAACACTGTAAGGCACGCCGGCATTTATTTCAACCTCATTGAACAAGATGCCTGGGAGAGCAGGGGCCTGGGCAGCAGAAGGCCTTGCTCACTGTCATGGCTGGGTGTCTGCAACTCCCGTGGACTCAGCCTCGGCCTGTTCAGCGCCCTCTCCTGAGAAGCAAACAGAGAGACAAGCGGCCCCTCAGAAGCCCTGTGGGGATGGAAGGGAGGGCTGGGTGCTCTCTGGGGGCGAGCAAGGGGCCGCCCGGCTTGCAGTGGGTGGTGAGACAGACAGGCTGGAGCAGAGCCCTCACCCGAAGAACTTGGACACAGGAGCCACGGCTCTCTGGAACCGGCCCTTCCAGATCCTTCTAGGAGGAGCATCCTCCCTGGTGCCTCTTGGGCCATCGGATGAGTTCTCCATGGTGTGAGCAAAGAAGACAGCTCCCTGGGAGTATTGTGGGTTTCTCAGGGTCTGAAAGAGAGAGCTGAGGTGTCATCTTTGCAGTCACCTCGTGACTGCTGTCCATTGCCCCATTCAGCCACTGTGAGGTGCATCTGCACTCCTGGTTGAGGATGGAGAAGTGGGGAGACCTGCCTTGTCCAAACCCCAGCCCCCTGGAGGATGTTCCAGACCACATGGAAGGGAGACTCACCTGCCTAGGAGGTGGGAAGAAGGGAAGGACGATCATCTTCCAGGAGTGTATGTCCTGGCCAGGATGACTCCTGGGACTTCTTTGTAGAGATCTCCTCAGCTGCCTGCTTGACCGAGTGTATATGCTCAGCACGACCTCTCAGAGCACCTGCCCACTCTGGCCCTGCCCATGGTTCCTCCCTGCTTTGGTCCAGAACATGCAGCCCAGCCAGTGGATACTTTGCTGATATGTGACATCTCCCCCCATCCGGTGTCTCTCACTCCCTCCTCTCTAATCTTCCTACCTTCCTTTCATTCCCATAGTCTCTTCTCTGCTCCTTATTCCTGCCTCCCTTCTCTTCCTCCTCACACTCTATTTCCTCCTCTCTGTCTCTCTCTGTTCTTTGTCTTCCCTCTGTCTCCTCCTCAGTCTCAAGCCATGTTTGACCTTGATAGAAAACCACACTGATATTTTAGCCGTATCTCATTTGTGGTGACAGTATTTGATCCTTTTCCTTCAGTGGGCTCTTTTGTTGGAAGTGCATTGGTCTGGTTCTTGTCTTATGTTCTCTCCTAAACCCTGGAAAATTCTTAAGCATCACTCAAGCCAGAGTGTTTTATACTCTGCTTCAAGCAGACACTCTGGTCATATTAAGTCTTCATTGGTTTTCACACAGTGACCTCTGAAACTTGTAGGTGAAATCTAAGTGATGCTGATGATAAAGATGTGGTATTTGTGAGGAAAGCATGGTGACTGAATTGCCTTTGTAGCATCAAAGTGTGCAGGTAAATGGAGAATGGTCTGTTATGCCTTTGAATCCATATGCTGTGTAAAGATACTTTTGGCCTTCAGCCGTCATCTCTGTTCTACATCTCCACAGGCATCACTCCAGAGTTCTAGGTGGACCCCGGGTGGGAGAGACATGATGGGAAGGAACAGGAGGTGGGATTGCCGTGGAGGGAAATTTGCCAGACAAAGTCTTTCTCTCCAGACAGGCCATCTCTGGTCCCTGGGGTGATGATTAGCAGCCCTGGAGATGTGTAAGCAGGTGTGGCACATGTGTGCTGTGCCCTAAGGAGTAGGGTGTCAGTGGTCGCTGTGCGTATCAGAGTAAAAGAGCTTGCACTTTTCATGTGCACCCTTCCATGATGTGCCCAAGCACCTCAGATGAATTTTAGGAGTTGCCAGGTCCATTTTCTCAATGCTCAGAACCATGACCCACCACCTACCCCCAAATGAATAGGGTTCTTTGTCCTCGCTGTCTCCTTGCCCTGCCCATGCCCTCAAATGGTTTCCTCTCAGAGTGCTCCACGGGAGCTTAGGCTTAGTGGCATGGAAACCACAAAAAGGTGATGGGATGCTTCTCATAACTATGTATGCCCAGCTGTGTGAATACAGTGTGGGCTCCCTCTGTTTTGCTTAAATGTAAGCAACAATCTGGGCTTAATTCGCTGACCTCAGTGGTGAGGAATAGAAACAAAGGCTTCCTAGCTCTGTGTCATTTTCTCAACATCCATATTTATGCAAGGAACGTGAACTGATGAGTCAGTGCTTCTTCCAAGTCCTGCAAACACCTCTATGCTAATAAAGAGAATGCTGGCTTTTGGACCTGCAGCCATGAAAGTACTCCTGGTTTCCTTGCCTGCACGTGTTGCTCTCCTGAGCTACCACCTGGGGGCAGAAGGAGACATGGGAACTGTCTCAGGGAGAGCTCCTGAGCCCTCTATGATGCAGCTTCTGAATGAGGTTCCCAGTCCTAAGCTAAAGGCCCTTGCCAAGATTTTGTACTGTCAGTTGCTTTAGGATGTGCCCAGGGCCTGGCTGGGAGGTTCTGACATCTGCAGTGATGCATGAGGGACTGACTCCTGTGGGTAGGGCTGTGCTTCCTCTCCCTTACCAGCAACGGAATGGGGCAGTTAGCTGCTTAAGCAGGTCGAGGGGCAGCAGTATCTGACACTGTCTTAAGGCAATATGCATGTGTCCATCATTCGACAGCATAGATCAGAAAGAGCGGGTCAGTGTCATCCACAAGGCACTTTTCTGTCTGCCTTGGACTAATAAGCCCCCTCACAATTGTTTTGTTGTCGAAGTCCTACCCAAGAGCTGGCTGGGTTTGGAACCTTTAGTGTGGAATTAAGGAGGAAGTTGATCGTAGGTGGGAAGCTGACTTAAGAGGATGTCCTCATGTGAAGAGACACCAGAGGACTTGCTCTAGGCACACACGGATGCCTGATGGAGATGTCATGTGACCATATAAACTCACCAGCATGAATCTCTCGGCAGAAACCAAGCTGGGAAGCACTTTGGTCTTGAGCTGGTCAGTCTGCAGGACAATGAGAAAAATAAATTTCTGTTGTTCTAATCATCTTGTCTCGGGTATTTCTTATGACTGTCTACGGAGCAGAATGATATGCCCAACTATGCTTCTCTCTAAAAAATGAGTCCTGTGTTCGTATGGATCACCAGGCAGCTTCCTCCTTGAGAAACCAGTGCAGGGTGAGGAAGATAATCCTGACCAGCATGGCTGTTTATTTTTTTCCTTTGAAACCCATGGGAAAATTAAAGCTGTCTCCGCGCACCTGCTTTGAAGGGTACCATAGTTCTTCAAGGAGAGGAAGTGGGTGGGAGGGCGTGGGTCATGTTACAGAGAGTCTCCCAATGTGGGGTTGCTTCATATACAGAAGTCCTTACTGCATGTCTGAAATTTCCCTGAAAGGAAACATGACACATGAAAAGAATAAAGTGTTTTTATGGTAGCTTCGGCTTTATCAGCTTGGGACATGGAGAAGGGTAGAGGGAAGAGAGAGAATGTTGAAACTTTCAGTTGGAGTGTCTGTTACACAGAAGAGGGGTCAGCAGGATCCTGTCAGCCCTGATACACACCTGGATAAACTACAGGTAATAATATGTGGGAAGTATTACGTGCATAGGTGGATCCCACTAGAGCTTCCTGGCTGGAGAGGAGCTTCCTGAGTTCTGAAAGGGTGGGAAGCCTTTGATCATTACAGCGGTACCGGGTCCGTTTCTTAGGACCCACGGCAATGTCACTTGTTTGAAATTACGCTTGCTTATCCTTGGGTGTAGTCTCACCAAAGACTGTAGGAATAGTGCCAGACTGAAGAATAGCAGCTTCCACAGTCACCACTCCTCTTACCATCAGTGGGTGTGTGTCTTGAAGAATTCTGCAAACAGGTATTCACATACATCCCTGTGCCCCATGGATACACAAATCTCTTTTCTTGTCATAAAATAGGTCCATATTTCAGAGAGAGTAACACATTTGGTTTTCCTCATTTTCCTTGAGGAACAGGTGAATTTACCTGTCATCTCACAGAAATCTATGCACCATTGCCTGGCGTTCCTAACATGCAAATGTGCCAGCCTTCTTTATGTCCAGATGTAAGGGGCTGGTCCTGGCTCTTTACAGATCTCACCTTTTCATGTGCTTGTTCCAGAGACCAGTTCTCTAGAAGAGAAATATGGAAACAATTTGGAGGGTACACTACACATACATTTAAACAACCACTTGTGACTGCATCTCCAAGGAGGGGCTGTGACTTTATGAATACCACCTTGTTATTCATTATCTTCAGCCTTAATTTTGCTATTGTTGTCCCCTTAAACTTTGCCACTTAGATTTTGACGTATTGAGATGTATTGAGAAAATGCCTCGTTAATTCAAACTGAAGTCCCAGGGCGTGTGGGTCATCCCAGGCTGGCAGTGCTCAGAGCTGACCTCCGGGACCTGTGCCGGAGTGAGATCAGGAAAGGCACGAGGAGGGCAGACAGGGATGGAAGAAGTTCATGGACCATGAGATTGCTAGCTGTCAGGAAACTCTTCAGCCTTGGAGACTGTCATGGAGTCAGGGATGATTTCCAGAGTAGTAGTTCTCTGGCATGAGTGACGACAGGGGTGCAGTGGGGATGCGGGGGAAGGAAGAGCTCTGAAGGAACAAGACCAGGCAGCTGGTCTTTGAAACTGCAGACAGGCCACTACCTTTTTCTCTACACTGTATTTGCAGGATTTAAACATGGCTACCAGGAGGTAGCGAAGGACAGTCTCATGTGTCATAGAGACACTGAACTCTGGGGCTATGGGTGTTCAGGACGAGGGTGCTTGGTCAACAGTTGGACTGCCCCAGTGTTTGGCCCTTAAGAAACTGGCAGGACATGATCAGGGATGGTCTGGAGTTTGGAGGCCTGTCTTGTGGCTGCTATGGTGATGATATCCTGAGGACCTGGTCTGGCCGCTGCTACTCTGTCCATGCACATTGTATCTATGAATACATCTTGGACTTGAAGAGAGGACCAAGTCAGGGTGACAGGTAGTGTCTTAGCATGTGGACCCATGGAGGAGGGATCATCAGAGACAGACTCCCGTGACAGCAATGGCCTTAGGAACCTTGCAGCCTGACTGCAGTATCCTAGTCACCTAATATTTGGGATCAGAGAATGTGCACGCTTGCAGAATTTCAGAGATCTCTCATTGAAAGTTTGCACTGTAGACATAATGGGGAATGGCAGCCCTGGATGCTGTAACAACTTCTTCAAGGCCACAGAGAGGGAAGGTATCACTGGCAAGGGAGTCACATGAGAGCACTATGAATGTGACTAGCAGTCACATATGAATCGAGACTCCTAGCAACAGACAGGGTCCAGAAACGAAGGGACTGTGAATTGTCCACTGTGAAAAGGAGAATGCAGGAGGGTTGTTTCAGTCAGGTAGGGCAGCAAAAGCCTTCTTCCAAGTCAACCATGTGTTGCAACTGGGACCTCAGGCTCTGGTGGGTGGGGCAGGGTGATTCCATGTCTGGCTTTTTCTGTGTGCTCGGGAGGGACAGAGAGATGAAGGCTGCTTATTAGGAAGCCCCACTCCATTATATCCTGTCATTGCTTCCTGGGATTTTACTAGGTCCAGTCATGCCTTCTGCATAGCGATCTAGCCATTTTATTGGTGGGAGTGTGGCACTCTCCCACCAAGGTCCTACTTTGAGCAGTGTCCTGAAGGGCTGAAAATAATGGGAGACTTAGGAGCCTTATGCCTTGGGCCTAAGCTTCCCAAACACCGGTGGCAGTATTTCTCTTCCTCCCCGCCCCCTCTCTGTTCTATACTCTATACAACATAGCAGCCCATGTTCATTTGGTCAGCCCGGATTCATTTGTGGAATGCCCCAAATCCTTCAGAATTTGCACTC